TTTACTACGCTTTCTACTACGGTTTTCTAAAGTTTTTTGTGAAAAAAGAGCACAAGGCAACCCAGGTTTGCAACAGAAATATATGCCCGTGCCATTATTTCTTGAGGAAAGAGTGAGGCAACAGGCTGTGAGGTATCAAAAATGTCAAAATTCCTTGGACACACATGCGAAATAATGGCAATTTTTTCTTGACCGTTTTCTTGAGAGCTGCATACAGGGCTATTACCTGAAAATTTGGAGCCTAATACCATTCAAAAATTAAAATTGCAGTATGGTAGATTTGCAAATTTTATATTTAAAAATTTAATATTGCAAGTTTTGAAACAGTAACTTTCACATAGCTAGCTTTTTTAGCTTTTCGCGTTCGCCCCTCTAGGAAGATTGGTTTGCTTCTTTTTTGCGACCTCTTCCACTAGGCACCGAAACTACCACGTTTTCTTGCAGTTTTCTCAGTACATACGAAGAGGAGACATTTGAAAGTGTATAAATAAGTATTATAGCGACTTTTACAAGAGTAGTTAACATTTCATGCTATTTTTTCAGAATATAGAAAAAATTTTCACTCTGCTGTTAGTGGACATGAAACCCACCAAAAACTATAAATCGAAAAAAAATTTACATAGCGCACTTTGCAAGTGTCCCTTCTTTGTATACAATTAAGGAGCGGCTGAATGGTTTAACGATGTTAGCGGTACATAATGATGTGCCGATTACAACACAAGAAGTAATTGAAAAAATGTGTGTTAAGCAACGAACATTAAAAATCGCTTTATAAGTAAAAACCCTGCAAAAAATTGTGCGACTAATCTCTAAAGAGAGTATTCCGAGATTACTCTCAATCGGGTACAATTGGGCATTAATTAGTCCCAACTAGTCTCATACGGGTACTAATGGAGGTCAATTAGTCTCGACTCATCCCTTATGGGTATAATTGGAGATCAATTAGTCCCCAACTCATCTCTAACGGGTACTATTAACGATTTAATGATATGTACGCACTTAGTCAATGAAATTTCATGTGCGGCGTTGGCACACAGAGAGAGTATTCGCCTAACAAAACTGAGCACCCCGGTTCGAATATCAGCTGGCGCAAATTTTTATTTTTATTTTTTAAAAGTGACTAGTCGCTTTTTATACCCGTTCGGGTATAAAGGTGAACAATTAGTCTCTTCATAGGACATGCTCGAAGAAAAGCGATCAGTTCATTCCATATAAAGAGATCAAAAGTGGTATTAGTCGCATGCTCCTTTGCGATTGCTCCCGGAGTCATCCCGGATTTGTCCCATTTTTTGCAGGGAAGATTTTGTAGACTTGTACATAAATAAATGTAAATAGATACGCGTAAATATATAAATATGCAGATATATTCAATGTGTAAAAACTGAAGTGTATACTAACGAAACTTCTACAAAACAAAACTGGACTACACACTAATTAATTAAAATGGTGTAGTAATTTAATTTTTTAAATTTAAATAAAGCATGAATTCCCCAGGGAATAACCGAGTAGACAAAAAATATATAACGGTAGAAGTGGCACATACATACATATATGAAAGAATGCCCACTATATATGTTTTGCACTATAGGCAAAACACGAGTTTTTTTCAAAATCGTAGATCTTCGCTTAGAAAAGAGATAATAAGTCTGTTCCTTTGAACTTCGGACTAAAACCTGTGGAACTGTTAAACTACAATTTTACTCTCTCAAATGAGAGTAAAAGGAGAACAGATGCAGAAGTGCATAGGAACGCAAAAAACACTATTTCCTGTAAAAACGTCAGTCGGTTTGTTTACATGTCATTTGTACAACACTGATTTAGCTGAAATATCACTAAATAATTATTAAAATCTATACATATTCAAACATTTCGTTGTTTACTTCCATTTTTTTTTTAAATATAAGGTACTTTGCTTTCACCGCTGTTTGTTTTTGCATGCACATGCAAATCAGCTGATCGTTTGACACTTTTCATGAACTTACAGGAAAAAAACTCCGGACTAAATCCTGTAACTTCTGACTAGGAACAGTTGGTCAGTTACTCTCTCAAATGTGTTCCCACTTACAGGTTTTATGTCAATAGGAACGACTTCCTGTAAGTTCTGACTAAATCCTGTAAACCGGACTGCTATTGGAACAGACTAATTGGAATGCAGCATTTAACCGTTTAATGCAGAGTCTGTCATATATGAAACGCTTTTTAACCCTTTCAAGGCAGAGGAAAAAGGTTCTCAATATGCTTTCGAATGTGCTTTTTCTCATGTTGACGTAGATATTAGTCATAGAAAATGTTTCCATAGTAAAATAATAATATAAAATAAATAAATAAATAAATAAAAATATTAAAAATAAAAATAAAAATAAATAAAAAATAAAAATAAATAAAAAACAAAAATAAATAAAAAGTACGTTGAAAACATATTGAGACCCATTTTGCCTCTGCCTTGAAAGGGTTAAAAAGCGTTTCATATATGACAGACTCTGC